TTGCGGAGTGGCTTCCTCCAGTACCTTAGAGCAGGTGATGCCAGAGAAGTCACTGCCAGCACTGGCTCATGATCAGAGCCAACTATGGCCCTTTCACCTTGTAGCACCGTCTGTTGTGATATGCTGATGGCCCCTCCAACTACCCAGACATAGTCAATCTTAGATGGTTGCCTTGGACTGCTCTGAGGCGGGAACCATGTGGGGCGCGCGGGCTGCGTGGTACTGAAGCCTAACCAATGCTCTGAATGTCACAGACCTACAGCTGCCATCACATTGCGCTTGCAAGTCCAAATTCAGGTCAACTCCTACTGTCACAGTGTCAAAGTACCTCAGGGCGTGCAATTTCTGGAAACAGGCATGCATGAATTCAGTAGCAACTTCTGCAGAGTCTTCGCTATTGGCATGGCACTAATTACATGGTGTGCGGAGCCTCGAATTCTGAAAGAACAAGTCAAGTGACAATCACGAACACGCACATGCAAATGAGGAAGCAACTGAGCCGGAAAGACCACTGCTAATCACCTGAAGCCCTTAAGCCGTCTCGCGGCTACAGCCACCATGTCAGGCCACCCACTTCGTGGCGGAAGCGCATGCTGTTGCCAACGCCCTGAGTCCCAGCCAAGTCCCCACCAACCTCCTGCAACAAGTAAAAGTCAGCCGGGGTCGACAAATGGTCGAAGGATTCATATGCTACTTGGGGACTCTTGCCCTGAACATGGTGAAACTTGTTTTGGGGCTTTGAGCTTGTCACCTGCGGGAGGACTGGCTCCCGTCCAGGTAATTTTCCCACAGCTGCCGTACCTACCCTTGTTGGACCCTCAGAGCCTGAGCTACTTTGCTTGCAATGAGAAACCAGCCAGTGCGGTCGCCTCGACCATCTTCAAGGAATACGTCGGAGTCGGAATATTGCAACTGAAGTGTGTTCCCGAGTACTTGAAAGCGGCCTAAGAACACCTTGCCACGCCACACCATGTCTACGTCTGCTGCTATTCCTCTCTTAGTAGCCTCTGCAGACATGAACTCCTTTACAGATACCACGGCCTTTATGCGGTTCCTCTCTTCAAGGGTGCGATGTAGAGTTATCCAGATTCTGTATTCTTCCTGGCAGGGGATCTTTGACTTGAACTGAGATCTCTTCAGAGCGTCAATAACATTCTTCTGTAGGAGTCTACCACTGACTATGGAAGCTTCGGGCCCCAAGATGAGTTCAATCTTAACATGGCTCGATCGAACGTATGGCACGATAATGTCATGGATGTGTCCCTCCAAGCGCAAGCTAGTGAACCACTCCTTGCCCAGGTCTGAATTCTTGGCATCTACCCATCCCCCAATTATGATCTGGAGATCCTCCCTCAGGTCTGCCATAGTTTGGGGAGGCCTAGAGAACGGGGTCCTGTTTCTTTCATTTCTTCGTGGCGTCGGTGGACGTGGGCTCGAAGGGGGGGTTCTAGAAGTTGCTTGGAGCTCTTGGACCTGTGCTTCCAGCCTCAGAATCCATCTAGCAGCCTTTTCACGCAGGCCTGCGTTAGTCTCAATGGGTTTGTCGAAGGTTGTCTATGGCCCCTCGGTGTTCTTCCAATTCACCCTGGAAATGCTGTTGAACAACATGAAAGTGCTCCTTAAGGCTATCTTGCTTCGTGTGCATGGAATTGAGCGAGTTCATTACCTCATGCAACCATGGCGGGGGTGAGGCGGAAGCTATGAGGTCGGATGCCGGGGAGGCGTATACAGGCCCTGGTGACTTGGCCGCTGTGTGCTTGACCGCCGCGCCTAAGTCCGGCTGCTTGGGCGTCGACAGAACCGGAAAGGGGCTAGGAGGCTTCATGGGCAACAGTTGGGGAAGTTGTCTAGTCGAAGCAACTGGGTTAGCCCCATCCGTGAAACGTGAAGTAGCCCCAAGCCAAGCAGAGACGGTTCCGGCACAGTTTGTCTCTCCTGTCCCGGTAACACCCCCGGCCCGACCCAGACCTTCGCAGCTGGAACACCCCCTGAAAAGAAACCTAAGTTCCCGGCTCCAGGACTTGCGAGGTTTGGCAAGCCCGTAGCTCCCCCACTGTTCGCTCTGCCCTGCAGCGTCAGATGCCCAACATTTTGACATAAGTGGCGGATGTAGTGTGCTAGGATCAGGTAATGTGTTTGGGTCGGGCACTGTCATCCCAGTAGAAGCAGCACTACCTAGCTCATGTCCTTCTTGCACTGTTTCAATGTCCACTCCTGTCAGCTCATCAGGTGTCAACAAAGCACCTGCTCCAGGTCTCTCTTCTTCTCTATCACGAACAGGCCGCCTCATCATCAACTCATCATCTTCACCGTCTACATCAATCACAAAGGGGTTGCCATTTTCATCAGTGACCATCATCAACAGTGTGGTTGGGGCTTGGGATTGCAAGTTGAGGTCTTACTTTGGGGGCCTTTCCAGGAGCTATTTCCTGAATGCCCGAGCCCAATCTTGTAGCCATTTAGGGTTTAGGGTTTAGGGTTCAGGGTTTAGGATTTAGTGTTTATAGGGTTTAGTTGGAGACTCGTTAATGGGGCTGGATTAATGGGCCCTTAACTCTGATTTGTCCAATGCCAGCGCGGACCCGGCATTGAAATCACAGCGGCTTGGGACCTCGTCCTGCCTGTGGAGGTGCAAGAGGCAACAAAGTCCCAGTTTGAAGTTTGAGCCTGGAAACAGGATGAAACAGGAACATGTCAGACGGGCTGCGTGCGCGTGGTCAACTTCCACGTGTGCGAGCACAGCGCACGAGCTTCGCGCCCGTTACCGGGGCTCTGATTTCGGTTGAAGATGGTTTAAGGGTAGGGCTTTAGGGTGTAGGGTAGGGTTTTAGGGATTGGGTGTAACACGGTTTTCTAGGGAAGGGTTTAGGGTGTTTTACGGTTTAGGACAAGGTTTTTGCCGCTTGCATGGCCATACAGCATCGCAAGGTGGTTTTTTGCCGCTTAGGACAAGGTTTAGGATTTAGGCTTTAAGGGCCTCGCACGGTGGGGGTGTGGTTGTTTAAGGTTCAGGGCTCACAAGCTTAGGGAGGGTTTAGCTTTTAGGTCTCAGTTACGGGTATCTAGGGTTTCGGGCCACGGCTACATTCGCGCTTTAGGGTTTAGGGTTCGGGGATTTAGGGTTCAGGCTCTAGGGTTTGGGGGGGTTAGGGTTTAGTCGGGGTCAGGTTTCAGGGTGTTGGGCTTGGGTTGAAGGTTTTGGGCGTAGATGTGTTGCAGTTAGGGCGCGTTTTTTCGGGAAATAAATACATGAATAGTTTCCCTGAAAGCTGGGCCCTGGGCTGGCATGTTTTCATGGTCAATGCTCGCGTTTTTTGGGCTTGGGGGCCAAGACTGCAACAATTTAGGGTGAAAGTGTTGAGCTTATAGGTGTTGCCAGGTTAGGCCTAGGCTCGCGTCAGGGCATTTGGGGCTTGGGGTTAGGTTCACAAGTGGTTCTCGGTTAATGAGTGGGCCTTCAGGGATTGGAGGTAACAGGGTTTTCCGGGGCTAGGATTTGGAGTTAAGGGTTTAGGGGTAAGGCCGTGGGGCTGGGTTTGGGGTTGTGGTTGGAGGTTCAGGGATTACATGGGGACCCTTCAGGGTGAGGGTTTAAGGATCCTGGTCGGGCTCTAGATTTCGGCAAAGGTCGAAGAATCAAAGTTCCGAAAACGACGACAGCTATGCGTTTTACGAGGCGAACACGCACGCAACATTCAAGCGTCGAGGAATCACAAATCCAAAAACCATGACAGCTATGCATTTTACAAGGAGTACAAGCCTGCCACTGTAAGGTGTCGAATGGTGTCGAGGAATCACAGGTCCGAAAAGGACGACAGTTCTGCATTTCGCGACGAGAAAAAAAAGAAGTCACAAGCAACCCAAATTGAGAAGTCACAAGCGACCCGCGGGAGAAGTCACAAGCAACCCCTCTACCTGCAGGGGCCCTGCCTGCTTGCACCACCTTGAACCATGTCCTGCTTTTCGGCCCTGGATCGCCAGTAATCCTGAAGAGCGAAGGGCCTCAGTAAGCTTCCAGATTTTCCGTGCACCTCTCTCCACCGTGGTCAAGCTCAAGCTCAACCGACAATCGCAGCAAGCCATCATAATGTCATAGTGGACCCGAGTCATGCTAACACCTCATGACTTCTAAACCGGACAACCAAACCCAAGCCCAGACTGAGCTCTGAGGCTCACGGGCCGCTGCTGTGGCATCGTCTTCCGTTGTGAACTCTTCGTGCGTCACCTGCACTGGAGACGGCAAGACCAAAATTGCCAAAAAAAGACACCTTTCTCAGGCTTCTCCTATATCGTTTTAGGCAAGTGTCGTTGGGCTTGGCGGCTTCCATCTCCATGGCGATTCTCAGGAGCTTCAGCTTGCTGATCGCACTTTCGAAGAAGCACTCCTGGGCGATTCGGTTTCAGTTGACGGGCCGTCTGGTTGTTGCACCTTGTTTTTGAGATCGGCGAAAGGAAACATCAATGAAGGCAAATTGAAGTCGGCACGCAATTTCGAGTTGCAGTGCGTCGAATGCTTGCTCCATCTCTGCACCGACATCTTTCTTGTTGCCTCAAGCTGGTGCTGTTCTAGGACCTCCTGCTGTATCTCTCAACACACCAGTGCTTCAAGCAAAATGGAACTACTGGCGCGTAAGACGGTGCAAGCGGAATTTGCCTGTCATCATCCACGAATGACACACAAGGATGTCATTGGCAAGCGCTGGCGTGTTGAAGCCAATGCGAAGAGGCGAAGAATGTTAAGGACTATTTCTGCACTCAAGGAGCCACTATAGGGTCTAGAGATATCCACGGCTGACAGATGACCTCCTGTGATGCTGATTGCGGGTAATTATCTGCTACTTCAGCTGCTGACGGCGTGCTCCATGAACATTGGCTCTTTTCTTGGGCCGCATACGCAGACCAAGGCCAGACATGCACGCCAAATGCTTGACATGATGACATCTGCGTCACAAGCGGCTGCGTGAGCCATTAGAACCTGCTACTAATACTTTACAAGTAGCTGTGAAGCCTGTCTGATTCAGCGCATCATTCCACGTTCCGGGTGGGCACGGTATGCACTGAACTCCATCACGATACTGTCCTGCTGCTTGCTGACACACCAGCAGGTACGAAGAAAGCACACTGGTACATGGAGCCTCTTGAACAGGCACGAGGGCTGTGCAAAGGCGGCTTTCCGCATGTCCATGGCATATGCCGCTGCGGCTGCGCCTGGTTGTTCAGTTTTCAAGCTCTCTCTACTCGATACACAGTGATCGCAGACTGCAGGGTTTCCAGGTCTGCTGCACTCGCCCAAAACAGCGCCCACGCACGGGTCAGGCCATCGTCCATACTTTCCTGCCGCATTTGCGCTAGCATCTCCTCGGATGGCTCGCAACTTAGCAAATCGCTCCATCCTGAAGCTTATAGCGGAGTTACTTAACAAGATGGGCTTCAAATGCACCGGTGGCATCGAACATGGCAAGACCCCCTGTCAGTAGCACAGATGTCCACGGATCTGCGGCAGAAAGCGGCAAGTGGCAAAGAATTTCAGTCCTGAGCATCATTAATCTTGTAATCTTGTTGGGCCTGCGCCAGTCAAGGCAGCCGAGGCTCCATTCCAGCTGGGCGAAAGCCGGAGTTCGGGCAACCTGGAGAGCTGGTGAAAGGGGAAGCATCTGGATTCCGTGTATGTACCTTGCACGGGTCAGGAGTCTTGGAAAATGAAACGTCTCCAGAGGCCAGGAGCATGAATTAGTAATGCTATACCGCCCTAAGGTACTTTCACAGTTCTGCCATGCATGGCAAGCGACTCAAATTTGCTGCCGAAGTAGGTGGCATAGTGCGCTTTGTTCTGCAGAAGCATTCCAGGGGCTCGATTCCTAGCCTAAGTATCCAGACCAGCTCCCCTGATCGCCGCTGAGGCATGCAAATCCAAACAGTGAATCCTGCAGGTAGGTGAGCCTGACAAATTTAGCTTACCAGAACCGCACCAGGTGACATAGTCCTCAGGATGATGAGGATTGTTCTGCCCCATCAGAAAGAACTCTTGCACTGTCGCAGTTGCCAAGGCCAACCTTCGACTGGCAATCAAATAATTCCCGTACCCACGTCACACACTTTGTAACTGCCAATGCGCACACTGGTCTTTCTTCTGAATTTTCGGTGCAAGCACGCACATTGGCACACACATAATTCACAAATGTTCACAGTTATAATTGCATCCAATTTCAGCACCAACAACACACAGACCTGCAGTGTTATTCTTATTGGCACACACACAGACACAGACACAGACACACACACACACACACACACATACACTCTTTCATGATGATCCCGCTTCACGTCTTTTGAGGTCAAGAAAACACGGTTCGTGTCTTGACATTTGCTGAAGGTCTGGCCCGTTGCAAGATGCAACCCCTACGTGTCAGTGTACTGATATGCACCGCCCGAACTTGCTTCACGCCCTTACTGGAAGGCATCGTGCAGGAGTGATCTTCTCGACACTAAAAGGCGCCGTGCAAAAAGTTCACTAGACCCACACACGATTCTGTCGGCGGCATTTGAACTGGGCAGAATAAATAAAGCACCACAGAACTGTGCTGCAGCATGTTGGGGCGAAAACGACGCACTGTAGCTTAGACCTCTAATAAGAATGATATGTTTGATAATTCCGAAGGGTTATACTATAATAAAGAATTAAAGAAAATTCGCGAGGAGACTACGGAGCCTAGGAGGACTTGGAGTGACAAGTCGAACAGCTGTGCTACAAATGCATACAAATGCCAGCACACGCTGCAATGAGCTTCCCGGTCAAAGTGCTGTGACATGGGGGTCTTTGCGCCGGTCGCGCAGCTGACCATGGCACGCGGCCGTCGCTCATGTTGTTTCTGCATCCCCTTTTGTATTCAGGGAGACCCATGGGACCCCCCATTTTGTCGGAGAAAAACGTACAACTCGGCCGCATGCCTGATAAGGGACATTTTTCTCGTAAACTAGATACACCGTTTTACCAGGACCCCGGGGGAACCCCATTCCACAGAGGTAATGTGAAGGGTGATGTTCTGCACGTTTTTGCCACATCCTTGCAGGTGCTTTCCAAGACCGAAGCAGGCGCAGGAGGACCTCGGCATGCCACATCAACATTCTGCGGTGCTCAATGTGCGAAGGTCACCGCACGCCATTATCCATCTGCACTCTGCGTTGGCTTCTCAGATGAGCGTTGTGAACTCTCCCGCTCATTGCTGGCAAGTACGAGTAGCAACAGATCTGTCAAAGCAGGGCCTGCCAATGAACGGTCACTCAGTTCGGTGGGAATCCGGACTCGTTTTATGCAGCTTGAAATACGTTCTCTCCCTCAAGGAGCAACGTAGCTAGGGGCCTGCAGCCGCCTGCCTACCCAGTGAACCAGCCAACCGGTTTTCAACAGCTTCAGGTCCAGAGGTTGCATATGCTGGATGTCTCTGAACTGCGGCCTCACTCTTCTGATTGAGACACCTTATCCCAACCTTGGATACATCAAGGTTGGGGTGCCGGGGCAAACGGAATGTATCCAGGTAGGCCTTCACCCTTTACCTAGTTCCGACTACCGCCTAGGACCTAGAGCCTAGACCCCGAAGACCCAGCCGAATCTAGGCGTTCAGATTCTTAGGAACAGCACTAAAACATGTAAACACGCATCAAACACTTATGGCCTCCTGAAAAATGTTGACTGATGCACCCGTTGCACTGCTGTCGTAGCGCTGTCAGCACCAACTGTGCTGGGCTCCCTTTGCTTTGCCGGTGACAGATTCGCAGCTTGGTCCAGGGAAACAAGCATGCTGGCGGCATGTATCATGCAGCTCTCACATGCTCGCGCGTCACAAGAAGACTCCTCTCAACATGTTCTAAAAACGTATACCAACCAAGACCTGAAGAGCAAAGCAAGCACGTTCGAGAAGGAAGTTAAGATGTTCGGAGATGAGACACCAAAGCACCCCGCCCCTGGATACATTTTTTGGGCCGAGATGGGTGAGGTTCAAGTCTTTGGAGGGGTATCCACTGTAGGATACATTAGTTCGGCTACGGTGGGGCGTGAGCATGAGCAAATGCATGAAAGATCCCCCTGTACAATTGACTTGATAGTACATAGAGTCTGTGGAATTTTTGCTCCCAAAATAGAAAGAAGCCCAGGCACATTGTGGAACCCAACTCTCGTAGGAGCTCATTTCCAGTCTCTCTGCCCCAGAGATAGATGCCATAGTGCAAGTTCAGCTCTTCCTGGAAATCATGGACAGGACATGTTGCCATCAAATCACGCAGGCCACAAAAATGATCCGAATATCCGCCGAGGCCGGAGGTCTGCGGCGTTTAGATCCAAGAACTGCGAATCAGGACTGGTTCCCAGGCTCCCAGGATGCACCTGGCCTCCGAGCTTTCGCTTGCATTGTTTGTACATCATGTGTCCCCGTGCAAAGATTTCTTGAAACAAGGGTTTTCGGTAGATCCTCATTTCATCTCATTTCTCATATGACCCAGTCACCTAGAGTAACGGACACGTACCGCTCCGCATGAGCAGGCGGCCATGCAATGTCGCACATTCGTCACAGGCGCGTTGTGGATACATTCGGGCACATGATGTGCGCGCGGCAGCGCTGCTCGCAGGGGACAGAGCAGTGGAGCCAAAGTGTGCCTAAGCACGTCCATCGCCAATGCACGGCGCAATACGGCGTATTACGGCGCATCCTAGCGAAACGAGGCGGCCAGGCCAGAAGACTTGGACCATACATGCGATTTATGCCGTTCCCTTTAACCATCCCAAATTGTGCTGGCCAGTTGCTGAAGTTGACTCCTCGTCTTTTCCATCAGGATTAGGAGCAAGTCCGCGACTCCAAGAATGCAAATCAAACCAGTCGAACCTCAGAAGAAACATCTAGGGCAGGAGGACCTACATCATATATATATATATAATTGATAACTTTGCAGGCCAGTAAGGTGGGCTGTTGTTTGCCTCTGCCTTCGCTGCAGACTGCCACGGAACTGCGACAAGGCTAGTCAAGCATCAAAACACGTTGCAAGACAGGCAGCGATCGAAAACGCGGGAAGAAGGGATCATCCGCACTCGGGTTGGACGTGTCACGAATCAATCCGTTCACCTGGAGCTGAACTGGCTGGCTGCAAGTCGTTGCAAAAACCTTCGAAAGGCATACCCAAAGCACGATCAACACTGCAAGGCAGTGAGTTGCAAACTGGACAGCCAAACCCCCTGATCATCCTATGCAGTCATGGTCACGAAGTCCAGGAAGTCGGGGTTTCGTTTCCACTCTGGTTGCAGCTTCACCAAAATGGCCGCGCTCACCACAAAATACCCAAAATGATAATGGTGGTCGTTGTAGCAGGAGTTCCCGAAATCTGCGAGCAGGCAATGCAACACCTGATGATTCGCTTAATTAGTCGAAAATGTGCACGACTACGCAGCACGTGCACGACGGAAAGCAGCCTCAATGCCAGGTGGCTGGGTTGGCATGCGAGGGCTGATTGTATCCCACACGGCTGGGCAAGCCCCCCCACACTAGGTCATAATATAAGCCCACAGGCGCCCCAACCTTAGTCAGTCTCGTTGGCATGACCGCCTGCACCCTGCTTGCGCATGCATCTCTTCAACTTTGAAAATGTGAACGAGTCCCAGCTGCACAGCTGCGTGATGTAGGCTCGCCTTTTGATAAATTCAGCATGCACCTTTCCGTACGGCAGAAAAACACTGAGACGTTGAGATAGCTACAAGTGAGGACATCCTGGCAAAGACAATACTCAGCATGGGACTCGAACCCTGTAGCGAGCCAGCCCGCGCATGTTTCCAGCTCCTGCTTCGTGAGGAGTTCCTCCGCCAACAGGCAGACCATTCCCACCTCACCACGAGAGAGATAGATTTCAATGTAATGCATTCTGACGGCTTCAGAATGCCCAGGTCCCTGCAGCGTGTTCAGCAGAAGAGACCATGCGAAACCCAAAAAACGCACCTTCTGGAAGCCCTTGCCGCTGAAGTAAAAGTCCGACCTCGGATCTGCAAGATATATCGAGGTGGAATGCCATTGAGCCCGAGGATCACAACTCAAGGACACGTCAGTGATGTCTCTCTGGCTGCAAGCATTGCAGCTCATGTAAATCTTCCGAAGTTTATGACGTGCCAAGCGATGAATTGCAGGACTGAGCCATGAAGCACTAGCCCCTACTGGATGAACGCGCTGCCACTTTGACTGCTGCCCGCACAGTGTGAATTTTGATGAGAGATGCGAAAGCTACTCGGCAACGAAGATGTGCGGATTGCTGTGTGCAGCGGTTTGTTTTGGGAGTGCTGAGCGCTGGCTTCTCAAAGTCTGAGGAATCGCTGCTCACGGCTTTCCTGATGAAAGAAAAGATGACCTCAGTCAGCATCCATACGGCCGCTGCGCTTTCTCGTGAAGGAGAACTTCTGCAGGTTTTTTGCATGTCCTTCCTGTACAAATGCATGTCGCTAACGTGGTTCGTCAGCTTTGGCTGTGCCGAAAGGAAAGTCCTGCAGTTTCGGCAAGCCATCGCAGCTATTAGGGTCCACAGAGTATCCAAACTTCAAGGCCAGAGCTACCTCTTCTGAAGAAAAACAAGTAATAGGGTGCTCTGAGGACGTGCCCCAAACCCACGCAAACATCCATTCTACTGCCTTCCATTGTCACAGACTTGTTTCCTGCTCCTCACATTTGGCAGAACCCGTAATGCGAGGTTCTTCGAACTTGCCAATGCCGCCTACAAAGCAATCCTGTCGGGAGTTTTAATGTCTGACATTCTGCAAGCTCGCTACACGAGGCCAGGCCGGGTCGGCACGACTGGAAAAAATCCGAGCATTGAAACTGCCATGAGACCTTCAAAGGTATGGGTCCTACACAAAAAAAAGCTAATGTGTGGTCAAGCTGCTTGAACATGGAATGGCGCCAATTTGGGGGGTCAGCAGCGTTTGTTTCGTGCAATGGCTGGTTGAGCCAGCGTAGAGCATCACGCGTCTCGTTCACCAAGACCCTCCTTCGATGATCCGTCAAGTTTGTATCGGGCAGAAATCCCAAAGAAGCCATCCTCAGCTGCAAGATCGCATGGTATCGCGTGAACAGAGGCCAACTGCCTCTGCATTCTCAGCAGAATACGCACCGTCAAAGCAAAAGCCATGTTGTTGTTTCCTGAGGGTCTTGTCGGTGAGCGGAGCCTTCAGAAGCCAGTCATCACCAATGATGCCCTGCATCAAACCCTTGGTCGGTGCCTGGCCTGGCAAAGCAATTGTTGCCTTTGACTTCACTTTTCATGCACACTTCAGCCAAGGCACTTGCCGTGAGCCCGGCCAGTTCGATGCCCTCCTGCAACATCTTCACATGGTGAGCCTCGGATGACGCAGGAAGGCTGGCATGCCCAACTCTCCTCAACCTCAAGTGGTCTCTGAGAGGCTAGGTGATCTCCTTCTAGATTTCTAAGGTGGCGTTTCCTTATGACTTTAGCCCACGTGCTGACTGCGCGACGTAAGCCCAATGCAGCAGCCGCGGTTGAGACCTCGCCTTCGCAGATTCAAATCTGTAGCGCACAAGGCCGCCAGATTTGACCTTATGTCTTGTCAGACTGATTCTTCGATACAAAGCCACGCCGCGACCAGCGCAATTCATAGCGTCCATCTACAGCACCCGCCCCAAAAGCAGTTGAGAAGCAGCGTAATCTTTCCAGAACAAGACTTATGCCAGATCGGCCAACCCTTTAAAACCTGTCGTCAGTGATCACTAGGCAAGGTGATTTAAGGTGCCGAGCAACCTGCAGATCACAGCCGATTACAATGGCCGCGGCATGGGCATCCAGCACGTCCACGTCATAGCTTGACAACACATGGGCAACGCGCATCCAACCATCCAATGGCTTGTTCATGAAAAGGCAGCGACCCTGGCACCCCATTCTGAGCTCGAAGGAACTGTCCACGAAATCCATGTTAGCGTTCAGCGCATACAGTCGTAGCTGGGCTGGAGTGCTGGTGGGATGATGACCTTCAATGGAGCATCAGGAGCAGAGCTCGATTCTACGTGGGAGTTGCATCGTCCCGGTCTACTGCCTGTCGTCACACTCCAAATGCCATCACGGATTTTCAACAGATTGTTGAATGGGCGCAAATTTCCAAAGCTCGTTCTCTCCTGAGATAGGCTCATGGGCAGTCCCAAGCAAGAATGCTGACAACAACCCAGGTTGCTCGGCAAAATGTGGAACCTGGAGAAAACAACTTTTCAAAGCTGCAGTCGTGACATTTGGCGTGGCTGCATGGTATCTGGCGGAAACATAGGCCATCCCACCTCAGGCTTTAAAAAGCTGGCACAGGAGCTGCTCCTGCTTCCTCAAACGACAAATGCTCACTCACTGCTGGGAAGGGTGCTGTATATGGGATACATCATCACGACTTCGCCATCAGGTCGCTTCACATTCACGTGAACACCAAACAAACCTGCATGCTGCTGGCAGCTTGAAGCCCTTCTTATGGAGTACTTGCACTAATGATTATCAGTTGCCGCCCAAGCTCACTTTTGAATGAAACAATCGCTTCCCGCTGATAATCAGCGTCTGCGGATGTCTGCACCAAATTAAAAAAGGTTGAAAAAAGTCCGCCTGGAGTATCTGTTATTAGGGGGTCTTTATTGTAAAGAATCATGGCGCCCCCATGTGGTTTCTATTGTGAATCTAGCAAACTAGAGTTGAATTCCAACCAGTGAAAATCTGTTTGAAGCCTAGTTAAACAGTTTAAAATCGAATTAATGTCTAGGGTGAAATCAACAAGTGTAATAAATTACAATCTTATTAAAACCCATTGATGTCTAAATCAAACCGTAACACAAACACAATGAAGACCTGCATAAAATGCATCAGAACCTAAATAAAACCTAGTGACATCGAATTGCAGCCTATTCACAATCTAAGTACAATCGATCTCATATCCCGATAAAATCAAAACCTACTCAACTCACAAGTTCATTAAAATATATGTTTAATGCGTTTGCCTGCAATAAAGTCAACTTAAAATTCTAACTCAATCGACTTAAAACTTAAAACCGATTTAAAACCGAAATAAACTCGATTGAACTCGCATTTAGATTCTATGTAAGTCCTTCATGAAATTATACAGACATACATACATACATACATACATGTATAAATCCCAGGAAACGAGCGACAGCTGATTCATTTCAAATTTGTAGACCCCCACTAATGACCTCGGAACCCCCCATTCCATTTTCAGCATAACGGGGATTCCTTTTAAAGGGTATTCTTGGCTGGCCTGTTCTAAAATTTCATGGCCTTGTCTGAACCCGCCATCTGGCAATCCAATCCAGGGAAGCTATCGCGTTCCATCATCCGAAAGCATTCTGTAATCCGCTTCAGCCCGTGAATCAGCAAAGGAGTACAACTTGACAGGACGAGGGGGTTGGGGCTGCATCCATTTTGTCATGATACATGACTTGGCCCGACATACAACAATGATACAATCCTTTCAATCCGTAAACCGGCCAATCTGTAAAACGGCTATCCGGCAATCCGGCCAAGGATTGCGGATTAGTTTAGAACAGTGCAGCTTGGACCTACTCAAAGTCTTCAGGGAATTTCTGGGATTGGGGATTCTCTGGGAAGCAATTTATTATCATCAGGGGCAGGGTTAGTAATCTAGCAAGCGATTGCTGCGTAGTTTTCTGACCTGCCAGCAACGCAGAAGCTTCCGACAGCAAAGTGGCTGGCAACTTGTCACCACTGACAGCAAGAGACGATCCACTACCACTACAGTAATACCCCTATACGATATCCATCTATTACCCTATGCTTACACTAGCAAAGCACTCTTCACTCACTGCCCACCGATGAGCTTGCCTTCTTTCGCGATCTCAAAACTCGAACTCGTGCCTGGGCTGCCACATCAGTAGCGTAAGAACACAAGGTGTGCGAGGAGGCTGCGACTCAGTGCCCCAGCCTGAGGTTTGCGACGCGCCCAGCGCAAACTCGCCCACGAAGGGTGTCTGGTACAGCTCGATGCGAGATCCGTCACGATTTTTCAACATGCCATCCTTCAGCTTGCGAGCTCGTCACACAAGATGCAGCAAGTCACCTGCTGCTGCTGTCTCTAGATATGACAGCGAAACAAAGCAACATTGATTTAGGCATCTGCGCTCTCATATTTTGTGTTGTTGGTTTTTGGTGTTTGCTGACCCCCAAATTCTGAGGGACGCTGCTGCTTGTCGAGGGTGCAGGAGCACGTCTGGGAGCTGAAAATGCTTCCGCACGAACACTTGCAAACTAAATGCTACTTTTCAGGAGACTCGAACCGCATGGCAAATTGGGGAAATTTGCCTGTGCAACCGCAAGCAAAACTTTCTAGCTGTCAGCATCCTCTGCGGACTGTGCGGCTATCCGATACAGCTACCAGCCCGGAGTACCCGGAAACACTGACAATTCTGATGCAGATTTTGACTTGAATGATTCCCTTCAACTGCTCAATCTTGACGCATGGGCGGGCCAAACTTTAACCAAGAGTAAGAGAGAGGATTTACATGGATTTACAACCAGAAGCGCCAAATTGCAACTGGCCAACGTTCAGGACCCCTCTCGATGTGTAAATTACGATCTGCAGATTCCTCTACACACAGAGAAGCACGAAAAAAAGCCCTCATGTAGATATCTCCAATATAAATGCAGCCAGAAAGTTCATGTGGTAAGCTCGCCCTTCTCTTGGAGGCTTCAAATGCTTCTGGTTTGCATACCAAGCGAACCTTCAAGACCTCTCGTTTACGTCGGACGTTGAGAGTTGTCGTCGTACCTGAAGCTCCAAAGGTGGTCACCTGAACCTTTGACGGCATGATTCGTCACCATAGAACGTTTCAGCTCCCACGCCCGAGCGGCAACAGCACTTTGAGCATCCAGAGGGCTGGGGCGAGGGAAGGTCTACACCCCCAAAAATCAAAGTCCTAGGATGCCCTAGGCCAGCACCACCTGAAGTATGGGAGCGCTAAAAAACCAGGAAGGGCCACACATCGTTTCATTCACTGCAAACGAACAAGCCACTGGCCACTGACTGATGATGATGATGATGCTGCTGCTGATGATGAGTCGGAGGAGGACGCTGGTGGAAGCGGCGGTGCGGGCTGCGATGGCGACGGCAACAGCGGCGGCAGTGGCGAGAAAGGTCGTAGTAATTCTGATGGTGATCCAGCTTGTGCTTAATCAAGGTTTCAGATCTATACAAAGAAGTTGGAGATCCATATGATTGGTCCAGACGTAAAGGTTGGGGATCCATGCCAATCAGGATTCCACAAGGCGGTCCTTCAAACAGCGGAGGGGTGACCCTTGGTACTGCGGCTTTCGGCAAGGAGGCGACCCTTGCCGGTGGCTCTACTAGGAGCGGATTTCAGCACCCTCGAAGAATATTGCAACCCCTCAACCCTTCAACCCTGAACCACCACCCTAAAACACCCGATCCTGTTGTAGGGCCTGCACATCCAGAACATGCTTGAATTCAAAACCACTCAACTCAAGGGCGCACGCCTAAAAGGTTACTCCAATACGGTGCCCATTTAGCCCTTATACAAACCAATGTAGTGGAAACCGAAAAAGTTTCTTGTTTCGAAGCTATTGAAAACACTGCAATGAAACAAGCCTCGAGCCCACAACACCGCTTTCAGGAGCCACCACTGTCCTAGACCTAGACGCTGTTGTAAGCTGGCAGGTAATATACTATGTGGCCGCCTTTAGGTGGCAAATACATGTCTTTGGTCGTAAAGTCTACTTTTGAGCGGATTTTAGCGCCTTCCACATGCTAATGTTGATATGCTGGTTGTAATTTTGATCCATCCAAAATCAGCCTGGCTTGCGCCAGCTGTCATTCACTGACAGCAGGGCGCAAGAAGTATCTAGAATCAGAGTCCCCGTGCATCGAGCTAGGCAACCAGTTGAGGTCTCAGGGCCTCAGCTCAGAACCAAAGTAGTTTTCGGATCAATTTTCCCCAAGGATCCCGTAATTGAGCTTGCTACATTTCTCAGAAACATCTGGAAGGATATGCACTGGCGAAGGCTGTTACAGGAATGTACTGCAGCATCCGGAATCAGGCAGACGCAATGTTAGAAGAAAGCCTGACAACACAAATGGCTCAACAAATATGCAAGAATGTGCAAGAATGAAAAGGTCTTTCAAGCTTCAGCAGCACCCCTTGGAATCGTGAGACATGCCCTACAAGGATCCGAGCGCTCCCTGCTGCATGGGCTACAGCTGTCCTGGAAACAGCAAAAACGGACATGAGAGAACCAGAGCTTCTGAGCAGCAAGAGGACAGCAAGATACGAAGGATGTCGGCAGCAACAGCAGACCCACCAGCTGACGTTGAGAACGCGGGCTCATTTGGGCCGCCAGGGTATGATATGGTTCTGACATGGAATTCTCTGGCCTGGTACCACACCTTCGGCTCTACGTTGTGCGAGGCCTGTAGCCTTAGTGTGACAACAGAAATCTGATCGAAGCTGAAATGGGCTTCATTCGAAGGACTCACGCATTCTCCAAGTTGCTCATTGCTGCTTCCCAGCTTGAGCACATAAGGCATGGGGTATATCGCGTGCATTGCGCCATTGCCCGTCTCAGCTGTCTTAGACTTAGCCGTTGCTTCAGCACAGCCTGTTACTGATTTAACACAATCAGCCAAGGAGCTGTAGGATCAGAAACTATCCTTACAGGGATGGCTGTGCAATTTCTGGCGGCTGCTGCTTTTTGAGTTCAGACCCAGGCACCAGTTCGCCCAAAACTTGTTGGTATTTTTGGGCCCATGCATGGCGGTGTTCACCGGCTTCAGCCTCCCGCGCATCAAGAAAGCCAGGTAAATGCTTAGAAGTTAAGGTGCTGACAAGCAACACATGTCCTGACACGTGAGGGAAAAGCTTTGAATTTGGCGAATTGGTGCTGATGGGCTGCAGCAGGTGGTAGGCCTGGCCTCATGCCAGAGCTCATGCTGATCTCAGTGCACAGGAGTTGGGGTGCAGGTTCAGGGTCTGATGCTTGTGTACAAGCTTCCATTCGGTCTCGGTGCAGAATGACAGCCGTCAGCTGCCCATTGGCCGACATGCGATGTGATCAACAATAGTGTGGTTGATTAACCCAACTGCCAAGCAGGTGTGTTTCGCTGCGGTCTTCACAGAGTCAACGGAATCTTGAGTTCCGGGCCAAGAGCTCAGCACAGACTGTGACAATAAGCTCCGGGCAGTTTTGCAGGGTGAGCCCAGCAAGCAAGACATGCAGGTGCGCGAAAGCACCTTTGCTGCAACCCAGAACGCTCATCTTCAAGAAGCTTTGCGCCCGCATGATGAAACTGCACGTTGCAGCTGTTGCAGCTGCAGCACCCATCGTAAAAGCAAAGCCACTTTTCGGAGCATACGGGCTGGCGCGACTTCAACAACTGTCTTTGGCTAGATTTTGTGACATGATAGCTTGTTACTGTCTGCGCGGCATCATGATTCCATGTGTTTGGGTTCTCCTTGAACTCTTCGGAAGCTGCGAGGCAACAAGCTGACACATCAGTGCGGAGGTTGCAACTAAACGAAGCTCCAAAGATGGGACTAGCGCGGCACTAGTGGCAACGGCTATGGTGCTAGTGCAGCTGTTCGCGATCAGTACTGCTATCGACCTTTCTCCAGAATTCTGCTTACACAACCTGTAGCACAAGAAGCTGAAGCAACATCCAGGGACCTGCCTCCACGGAAGCTCTCTCGGTCAGCTGCGACTCCCATGCCCGGAGCCTTGCTTGGGCTTAGAACTCAGCAGATCCAGCAGACGGGTTACGGATCGTGATTTGGATTGAAAACAGAAGCAGGCCCACGCAACGCATCATCGAGGTCGTGGCGTTTGGCGTATCCAGCTCATCACGCCATGAGATGCCGCATCGAGCTTGCGCTGCGCCTCCACCAGTTTCGCTACAACTTGACCCCCTCCGGTTGACCGGAATTAGCTCAACGAGCTAGGGGCCTTGCTGCCTGCTTGGGAGTATCCGCAGTCAAATTTGCGAGTCAAGACGTGTTCAGTTGGAGAGCCGGGACAAACCAGAGAAGCGATCGCAAAAGGGGCTGTCGAAACACAGTCACCAGCTGTCGCCAAGGGCTTTGTTTGCTGCTTGGCTCTTCGACATGTTGCCCTTTCGCCACACCTACTGAGCCTAACTCTGTTGTCTTTACATGGCAGTGTTTCTTGCCCCTGAGGCTTCTTTCAACGTATGCTTCATGTACCCTCATCTGGCTCTAATTAATCTAATCAGGGCTGCTGAATGACTGCATGACTGGCATAAAAACCTGAGCTTGAGCAGGCCGCACACCACTTCTTGCACTAAATTCTGTGTGCCTGGGCTTACAGACACAGGCGGTCCTCTTCTTGCTCCTTGTCACGGTCGTCCGGATCAGAACCAAGAACCGCGTGCAGCGTGGTGCCTGAAATCTCCAACATGCTCCCGAACTGAAGGCTCTCCAAAAATGCTGCGGAACCTAGGCTCCACACCATCGTCTTCAGAATCACTATCCTTGTCGTTGGGCTCCTTACGAGGACACTGCATCTGATCCCCCGCTGCTACAAGATCACAGCTCAGCATCTACCGACCATCTGTCTTGACCTGCCCTCTGAGTAGAGAACATGTCGAGTGACGGTTCCATCCATCGTGGCAAACTCAGCGTCCTTTCACAAGGCTGTACCGTGGCCTACGGGGGCCTACGGAGGTGCATCTTGGTGCTTGCTTTTCGGAGTGGCCCATGCGGGAATTCATCTCTTCAAAAGCTTGGTTCTGCGGTGTTGGGTGGCTGGATGCCTTACCAAGTGGATGCAGTTGTGCTGTCGCGTTTTGTGTGGGCTTGTCTTCAGGACCCCAAAAGCAGACTGAAGTCAACATGCGCTCTGGAGGCTTCCCACCGCTACGAAGGGACTTTGGTGAAATTTTTGGGATCTCCCAGGACCCCAGGCCCGTCTTGGGTCAGAGCAGAGAAAAGCGTGGATTTCAATGAGTATTGTGGCACCCCAAGATGAAGAAATGGCCCCCAATGATGTTGGCGATACATAAGGGCCCAGCATCATCAGCATCATTGGGGGTCTATTTCTCCTTCTTCAGGTGTCTCATCTGCCCGTACGCTCTTGGTGAGGCATTCTGGTTGGGCGGCAGCAAGTATTGCAACGCACCCCGTGCGCGCGATACGATTCTGGCGTGGGCCTTGACAGAGCTAAACCTGCACGCAATTTGTCCTCTACCGTTGCCCGGCCCCCTACATCTCACCTCTACCCGCGATCCTTTTGGAGAATTGCCCAGAAGCCCCGCATTAAGAATTAATCACCTCACGAACTTCGTCACGAACCCAGCAACATCTCCACCAGGCTGGTTGTCTTCCCAACTCACTGACCATGTACTTATCATCATACATTGTGCTCCCAAGGGATGATCAGACTCTCCCTGCGTACTACCCTACTGATCGAATTGGTAAGCATCCGAATTGGACTGGGTTTTCCAAGGCGCGCGCCTTTCCCGGCGAACTATCTGCATTGTACCGGTATTCTGAACGAAACCCAAAAAATTCCAGGTCTCCCTTCGTTTCCATTGAATGAAATTCTGCCAATTTCCGTTGCAAATGATACCGCGGGCCTCCATATGTGTGTTGTCTGTTTGCTTTGCATCTTGTGGCCAGTTTACTACTACTGCTGCTACTGCTGCTGCTGCTATCTACTGCTACTACAACTGCGAATGCTACTGCTACTGCTACCGGCCCGCCGTAGCCTGCGGCTTGCCCGCGCCAATCTCTCTGGCTAAACGAAGGAAGGTTTTCGCTGTGCAGCCGCCGTGTTTTATAAGGATGTGACATGTCAGGGGCTCGCAAGTTCACGGCTCCAGAGTCGCCTCTGAATCGGAAGGCTTGCGGGCATGTGCTGCGCAGGGGCAGTGCTTTTGGAGCTTCAGCCAGGACATCCTGTCAGTTTGGTCTCGGCGCGAAAATAACAACAAAAACAATCGGAAGCGGCCGATCTCCCTCTGAAGGGGCCTTTTCACTGTGCAAGCGCAGTGTTTTATGAAGACATGCAAGGCCACAAGCGCTGGCAAACATCGGCTTACTAACTGAACCCGTATTTCATCAAAAGCTGCCATCATCAATGGGTCTTCAAAAGTCTGGGCGTAAGTGACTACCCTCTCGGTGGGTGCGGCGCGTGGTGACGCTGGCGCGTGGAGCGTCCTCGACATGCTGGGCGCAAATGACAACGCTCTCGGTGCTCGCGATGCTGGCGCGTGGAGTGTCCTCAGAATCATGTTCAGGCTCTCAGCGTTTTTGGCGCTAGCGTGTGGAGCATCCTGAGAATTCTGTTCGGAATCGACGACCTTCTCGGAGTTTTTGGTGCTGGCGCATGGAGCATCATCAGTATTCTGTTTCTCCTTGTTTTAGGCATGTAAGAGCACTCAAGTTGGATTTAGTGACATTTTTCCAGGGGTTAGGAGAGTGGGTAATTGCTTCGACTTCGAATGGGTGGTCGAGTTTGAACTCAAGTTTGATTTCGACAGGACCGAGAGGTCGGGAGGTGGTTGAGTTCGAGTTCGGGGGTGGTGGAACCTTTGGGGTTCGAGTTGGAATTAGGTAAATTCAAGTTTCAATTCAAAGTTGATTTTGCTTTTTTAGGGGGCTAAGGGGGGTTAGTTGAGTTCGAGCTCGACTGTGGTTTGTACTGTCTCATGCATATCCTGCCGCATACTGCCGCTTCGTTTCGCCATGTTCTTGACGTATACAAGGGACCCAGGGCTTGCTGGCCTCGCGAAATGGTCTGGCTGCATCTTGTCCAGCCGCCCTTCAGTTTTGACAGCCAAGGTCTCTCCGACGTCGCAAGATCCCGCGGACCTTTTACAGCCCTGTCTCTCCTTCTGCATGTGAGCCATAGTCTAGACTCCTAGTATCCCCCGTAATAACCCCAATTGTAGTCCCCTGCATAATGCCCTAGATAAGCCCTTCAAGGAGCCTTAGCTCATGTGGCGGCATGCCACTGTGGCATGTCCGTAATGCAGGCATCGCCGCTCATTGCCTGCGGCACTTCATCGTCTGTACCTGTCGCGTGTTGTTCCAGGGGCCGCCTCCGCCCCTTAGTTCCTATTCCACGAAATGCTTCGATCGCTTCGTGAGCAGAACGGGCCTGAAATTTCCTGTTGCACCTCTTCCCGCCATGTCATGCCTGCTCCATCGGTGCCTTCTCTTTCGGCATCACTTCTAGTGCTCCCTGTACAGTCTGCAGTCACGGCGGTCTGCATGCAGCTCATTACGAATGCAGTCCTGTAGGTGCTGCTTGTTAGCGGAGCTACGAAACGAAGCCCCACGCCGGCTCAACACAACTATGGCCAAGGGGCTCCGGCTCCTTCAAACTCGAATCGTTTGCGTCGGATGGGTGATGGGCTTGGTTTAAGCAAAGGCGACGCTTAAAACCATTGCCAATGGCTCGCACAATCCTCGAAAACAATTCTTGCACATGTGTCCCGCAAATGCTGTTGCAGTGTAATTGCTTACTTAGCCTTGCTGGCAAGAATGCTACAACCTCTGAAAGTTCCTCCGCGTCAACAATGTCAACACCTCTGATGCCGCCAGCTGCCTGCACATGGCTGGTCACTTCCGGTCAGACTGCAGGATGTTGTCGAGTCGCAAATGAGCGGCTGAGTTTACTTCTGAGGGTTGGGAACTTCAAGTTTAAGAGATCCAGCATACCCGCAGCACTCCCTCAGCTAAAGAGTCAATGATACCCTCATCGCTGGAAACCGCGGGCGAAATGCTGCTTGGCCAGCACCGTCACAATATTTAAGAAGAGGCACGCAAGGGGAAATCTGTGATCAAAGGCCTCCCTCTCTCGCTGTTGCCGCCGATCCAGGATCTGCATGACCTCGTTCTGGCATGTTCTGGCTACCAACGAACGGCTGACTGCACATGGTTTGTGGTGCAAGCAGCCATCAGCTCTGGTTGTCACTTTGCACGGCCTGTTTACAATTGCAAGACTCTGTGACTGCTGGCTAAGCATGCAGCATTTGTAGATCCATCGGCCAACACATCCTGGCGGTGCCGTACTACTTGGTGCTGCGAGACTTCCGGAGCCAAGCACCGGAAATAAAGCTCAGTGGTTGGTTCTGTTCAACAGGCTCTTGGGCAGTGTGGCACTGGGCTTGAATTGGTGGCTCAGGTCTGCTTGTTATTTTTGCTCTAGCGCACCTGACTGCTTTCCAGCACCACCGGTGACAACAGCAGCTCCCTTAAGCCTTGAAGCTCTGAATGCTGAAGCGAAAGTGATGCACACTTCCGGTACTTAGCTTGCTTTCAGGCTGCTATGAAAGGAGAGCCATGGGCGTTTACGCATGATTCGCAGCATGACATGGGCACCGCGCACAATGCCTCTGAAGCGGGTCGTTAGAGTTTGGTCTGGGCTCACGGAAGGAAACTTCATCCTTTGGGCCGTAGTCCTTCTGGGGTGGACATAACCCCGAAACCTCGCAAACCCACAGTGCATCCCCTGCATCCCATGTCTACACACGTATGCAAGGACCTACCCCTACCATGCGCGTCCCCCTTGCCAGGGTCCAGGTTCTAGGGTAGTCGCTCATCGCCGTGCCTTTCGCCCCACGGTGTTCCCCCTGACCCCCATCACGAAACATACAATAAGGGTTGGGGTGTGTTCGCCTCTATTTATGTTGCTGGCTTCAACCCTGCTGTACTCTCAATCTCGTTAATCACGTCCTCGGTTCTTGTCTGATTCGCTGTATCATTCCCCAAACAGTCTGATTGTCGAGGTTCTTGATTTTTGTTGGAATTAAAGAATTCCTGGAAGCTGGGAGGATTGGCCACGTTTCTGGAGCCCTTGTCTCCCCTTGTCTCCCTTCATCGCATGCCATCTATGCTCATTCTGCGTTGGCTTGCAAAGTTGCACACTGACCCCAAGACCTAAGCCCCAACCACACCACAGGCCAGGGAACCTGCCATGGACCCAAAGTGCCAAAAGTCGGACGTATCATGTGTGTCCAGGTCGCCATCACTGTGGCTGCTGTTGTGACTGACGCCTCATAGCCGGCATCCTCAAATAGATACATCCGAGACTCATCCGAATGTTCGGGTTCGCCATCTTGCAGTTGTCATCGCTTTTGACTTGCACACCCGCACTCGGAATTCTAACATCATCATGTTCTGCGTGCATACTTTCCGGTGGCCATTGCCAGCTTGATTCGCATCATCCTCAATCTGCCTGAACTTGAGGCTGGATCCAATGCAGGCTTCATCAAGTCCACACATTCTAACAAGAGAGCAGAGGAATACCACGGAATACCCCTACCCCCAACATTGCACACCACATTGAGGGAGTAAGGAACACTTGGAAGCCTAAACCTCAGGCCCAATCCACACTATAGGGCGAGGGAGGGAGTAAGGCCTAGCAATATCTCAAAACTGCATGTCCAGGCCATGTAAATTTCCGAGACTACACAATCATTGTTGATCCGCTACATCAATCCATACTGTTTGGAGAGCCAAGCGAACAACTGCTTTGGGGCTATCCTGTTTGGGTCGAAATATCATGAGATATCGCTTCCCAGCGCCTCTAGGTACCCGCACAAAACAAGTAATTGGAGATGGCTGCAACTGAAACGAGCCTGGTCACGCGCCAGCTCACAGCCCTGCAGCCTGCGCAGCCGGCAGCAAAAAAGCTAGAAGCCCACTCGGAGAAACACCACATCAAAGCTTTCTAGCTCACTCAAGGCGTACGTGGTTGACAGCTGATAGCAGATGACATGTCAAGTTCTTATTCCCGAAAGCGTTGCAAAGGGTTTTTCGGTGGAGGTAGCTGTCTGCAGGGTGGCTTGATGTTTCATTGATGAGGTGATGTGATCAGCTTGTTGTAACACACAAAGAGTTGTCAATGCCGACCAAAATTTCGAAGATGCTCAACGCGGGCGCGCGGACACGCAAGAGGGTTGATTATTCCGGGTAAAATTCTGAGGGCGCTCCACGCGGGCGTGCCCGGATACGTCGGGAACACTTGGAAGGCCGTTCATTCCAAGCAAAATTCTGAGGACGCTCCACACACAGGAGCGCGGGGGCACGCCGGGAACACGGAGAGGGTTGTTAATTGCAGGCAAAATTCAGAGGCCACGCCAGAGCATCCAGACGCGCCGCAAACACCGGGAAGGCTGTCGATTCTAGGCAGAAATCTGTGGATGCTCAACACTAAACTGTGCCTTTGGGGAGGGGTGGCTGCTTTGAAGCAAATTCATTAAGAGCCGCCAACCACCAAGACCGCACGAAACCTCACATCCTGCCATCAACCTCACATCCCATCCGATACCTCAGGGCGATCGTCACGGCGTGCCCGGACGCTCACGCGTGGAACGTCCGCAGAATCCGGTCTCCTGACAGGAGGGGAGCGTCTCACTGCATACATAGATGGTGGGGGATGATATGAGGTCGACGTATGAGGTGATGCAGAAGAAGCGCCGCTCACAAGGCACGTTTCGACCTGGGTCCGCCCAGAGATTCTAAGCGTTAGCTGTTGTTTTTTCTTTCATTGGCCGCCCTGCCTAAACCGTTGCTGCATGTTGCTGCTACGCGCGAAGTTAGATGGCATGTGCTCAGCCTGCCGACATTCACGAGTGCTTTGCTGGTACTGGCTTGTTGCCGTCCATTCATTGGCGATGCAGCTCGCGAGGGCCGCATTGGGGATGGCATCCGATAAGTCATACGCAACAAGGGCGAGGCACGAGAAAGACGTCTCAATTTCTGGAGCAGGGCCGGTTGGACACAGGGCGGATTGGGTGCCCATGAGCCTCAGCGTCCTCCTTTGCGTCAGGCGGGGCGGGGAAGCCATTGTGCGGAAGCGCTTGCAGCGTGGCCATACTTAAAGTGCAGACACCGTAGTGCGGCGCTGAATCGCGCGTAGGTAAAGCTGCTCCCGGCCGCGTTGCCAAAATCAATGGGCAAAATCAATGGGTAAGAATATTCCTTCCTGGTGGAAGGTGGTCGCCTTTATTTCCTGTGATTCCGGCTTGGTTGTCGCGTTCGTTTCTGGGGACTTTAATTCCAGAGCGCTGTGAAGAGTTTTTCCGTGGAGAGGGTGACTGTAGGATGTCCCAATTCTGTACCACGGAACTATGTTCGAGAGTTAATGACATGGATGGATCGAGTGACGGGGAGCGCATGCATACATTATGCATGGAGAGATTAACGGACAAATTGATGTTAGCTGTCGCGGTGCTCAATACCTCACTGTTCCAAACACTATCAAACGCTGTTGGGACAGAGGTTCTCTAGTTTTTATCCCGGATCTGCCATTTGTTTAGTGGAACCCTCTTGAAAGTGATTCTTTTCGAACGCAAGGCCTTTCGAGCCAAACATGATTGGTCATTTTGGAAATCTGAAGCTCGAGAAGCCAAGCTTCACCGCAAAAACAAGCAATCCCTTCTCAGAAAGCAAAAACAAGCATAAATGAATACACGAGCACGAACCCTAATACTGTTAATACGAATACAAACCACACCTTGAAAATTGTTTGGGGTTTCTACCTTTCATTAGTCATAGCATGGGTGCGACAATACAGTTGCCCATCACCAGGAAGCACTGCTGCAACCTCCGCCACCGTTGAACATCTGTCTCGGCGAAGAAGGTTGCCGGCCTCAGCAGCAATGTCCACGCGAGTCTCAACATGCACCTGTTGCCTGCAATCCTACAAGCAACCTTCGTCACATTACTTTTACATACTTTTACTTAACTTGCCGGGCTCTCCGATTCCGGCAGAGAGGAAACAAGTCCAAGTCCCATGCTGCCCCAACTCACGTAGTCGCCGCTTTGTCATCTCACGATCCTTGCGCGTGATTTCGTCCTGCGCGCGCTGTCCATGACCATGGAAGCCTGCTCACTGCCTGCTCACTGTTTGGAATTGCCTTCAAATCAAAGTTTATCAAAGTTTTCCATCTGAAATATCAAGAGCTGATCTGACCCGACATGTAGAATGTACAAATACACACCAGGCTGCATGCTTGCGCGCTTGACACTGAATCTCCCCGGTCTCCCCTAGCCCACCAACCTCGGCATGGTGCATTTCTGTGAGTGTCGAACGCTCCAAACTCTGAAGCCTGTCAAGCATAATAGCCAACACTTCCCGTAATCTCCTCCTCATCATCCGAGTCAGACCTGGTTGCTTCGCAAGCCTTGTTGCAAGTACTACTTGTGAGGCAGGACTTTGCTCGTGAAGCACGAAAAGGACAGTGTTTGCAGATTGTGGTCGTCTCAAAGAGATCCTTTTGCTCGGATGACAGCATGCTGCCACTGGGACCGTGCTCTTGGTCTGGCAGCTTCAGTGCTTTGCATCTGAAGCTGCGGGAGGCAGGAATGGCGCTTACCTTTCGGATCGCTATTAAACTCTGGTTTTGCAGCATTCACTGTCTTGCGTTGTTGTGCTTTAGGGGAATAATCTTGGTTGGTTTTTCTGGTGAAATTTTGGGTGTTTTTGTGGGTCTACATGCAGCAGATGGACAACATAGAGGCTGACGAGTAAACAGGCGCATGACAAGGTTGTGTGTGTAGGACACAGGTTCCCTGGGCCTGTTTTCTACGGGTGACACCGTGCCGCTTGTCTAGCTGGCTGGTTCCCTGCCATATCTCGCATATATCACAACAAGGGCGTCCCATGGCGTCCCAACACAACGTAGCAGGACTCATTAGGATCACCAGGACCAGGACAGGTATACAGTTGGAACACTATGGGTTCGGTAGCCGAAGTTGTATGTTCAAAATTCAGGGTCTACGGTTCTTTGCCGCTGTAATTTACAACTCCCTACAGGAATGCTCGGCCACGGGAGGTTCATCCTACACAGCTGTCACCAGGTCATTAGGCGGGTCTGCATTGTGCATGCGTGTCCTACGCAGAAAGTCTGCAGTCTGCATGCAGGAGGGCTCCAAGCCCGCATGAGGGCTCGATGATGGATTTCACCGGTTCTCCTTGCCCCTCACCCTTCAACACTTTTCAGACTCCACCAAGTTCGGTCTGCGTAGCCACTTGCCGCTGCTTCAAGGTGAGCTTCTTCCACATCCACTGGTTTGCCATGGGTCGCCTCGTAATGCTCGGAGTCCAAGGTTCCCTCATACAGCTCGACCTGAAGCACGTCTTCCAGACTCATAAGTCATAAGTTCCGACTTGCTGTTGCTGTGGCAACTTCTGGTTCCTCTCTTCCAGCCCAAGGTAAATTGTCGTCAGTTCCTCCACATCCCCATCAATAAAGGATCGCTCGCCAAAGGATTCCCAGGGGTAGAGTCCTGCTGAAGAACTGGGGGGGGGGTGGGTGCAGTTCATGTAGCCACTGCGGTCTGCTACCAAATGCTCGCACCTACCCATACCATCCCATACCGACGAAAACCGTGAACGATATGCCCGGCATCTTAAAGAGAATATGACCGTATTCCCAGTTGTCCGCTGATGTTGCGACCTGGCTCCATCCACCAGCAGCAGCATCTGAACTTCTTGGCGCTGGGACAGATCAAACTGAACCAAACGAAGGTGCCAGCCTTGGATCTGACTTTTCCTAAGGGCGATTGGGCACGCGAACATGTTTGTCAAAGATGCTGCAACTCATCACGGTTTCTTCGGGAAGCGGAACCACTTCAGATTACAAGCCGGCGCGTACCGAGAAGAAGCTGTTTTGCTGTCTGCGGGTGCTTCTCCGTGATGTCGCTCTGGAGTCGCTTGTAGATCTTCTTCAAATCGAACAGCGACTTCAATGCCTTTTGTTCGACTTTGTTCGAATTCCTCTTCGTCGAGCTCTAGTACTTCCATAGCCATGTCTTCGTTGCACGGCCTGATGTCCACATCTGTCTCACGAGCTTCTTGGGGTAGGTTAGGGGCGCTGCAGAACCAGCTCTCTAACAAGCAGGAGGCGCCGAGAAAAGCACTGAAGATCACTGAAGAACCAGTTGCTGTCGATGGAGGCCTTCCACCATTCGCTGCAGAACCTCTTGCTGTCCATGGAGGTCTCCCACCATTTTTCTTCTCGACCGGAACCAAAGACATCGGAAGCCTAGGTAGCTGCCCTGGGCTCAGACACAGCAGCTGGTCAGCACGATCCACATCCGGATCCAAGGGCTCATAGCCAAAGATGTGGACAAGCCAATCAGCTTCCTTGCCGCCCGAAGTTGATACAGGAGGCGCATGTCTTCCAGAGCTTGCACGTGCCAACTTTTCAAACTGCCTTGTGTGAGCTGCTTGACGGGAGCAGATGAAGCAGACAAGTATGGCTGGCTCTGGAATTTTTTTGGTGGAGAACACAGCAAGGCTGTAAGAAGCGAGGGCCGTTATATCCATTGAGGATTTGGGGCACGGCCGCTGAGCCAGGATCTTAATTCTTTCCAGTTTGAATCGGGATGTGAGACGCATACCACAATTGTCACACCACGCTTGCTGGCAGCCAATGTGCCATACGTGCCAGGGGTGTGTTATCTTTAAATGATTTAGAAATTCTCCTCTTGTGGCTTGTCTTGGTCCCACGGGCTTGGCCCTGGGCGGGATTGACAATAAAATGCCCACAACTCGTGGAAGCAAGTGTTGTTGGATGCGCAACATCTTGTCGTCGGTCCGGGTGTTAATTTGCTGATAGGTCGCATAAATATGCCTAAATAGCTTGCTTGTCTAGCCATGCTGCTCTTGCACCAGCTGCGTCATCTGCACGCCGAGTGGCGTTGTATGCCCGGAGCAGCTCAACTCTTCTCCAAACCGGTGCTCAAAGTTGTCTCTATCAAGGTGAGTCTTGACCCAAATCGGATACACCCACCTATCTACAGCTTCAGAAACCTCCATCCAAGGTCGGCGTTCAGAGTTCGGTTCTTGACCTTCCGATTGCAGAGGAGCCGCCTTAAATTTTTAACCGCGCCATACCGTGACGAGGGAATCGCAGCAAAAATGGACCTCTCCTTCCGTGTGGCGAAGCAGCTAATCAGGGCCTTGAGTTCCGCTCGTGGCACGGACTGTTTGTGTCCTTCCAGAAACCCAGCCCGAGCGCCAAGGCACTTCCAAGTACCATCATGGCTAAGGCCAACAACTGACACCCCCCAACTACAGAGCCTGCAACGTTTGTCGGACGAAATTTTGCCGCCACTGCCGTCAGTTCCATAGCGGTAGCCTTGCAAAACCACGCCTCCAACTCAAATACCAGTTTCGACAATGTCGTTTTCAGGGTTGCGGCGAGTATGGGATTTCAAGTGCGTCCATGCCGAGGGCGTAACAGTGCGCAACCCGTAGCAAGGGTAGTCCGATGTTTCAGCCTGCTGCTTCCGCTCAGGGAGTGGCGCACCATGTGTCTTATCTAGCTCAACGCATTGCCACAGCAGGTGCAGGAGGGTGGGATTGGGAGAACTACAGAATGGGCAAAACTCCAAAAGATGATTTTCGGATGAAGGGATGCTACCTTGAACTAGTGCATGAAGGGCTCGGATTTCACTGAAGTTGTTTAGTTTTCCAAGTGACGAGCAGCAACACTTAGGTCGGCCCCTTGTTGTAAGCCTTTTCCCCCTTTGGTGTTGGGCGGAGACTCAAGTAAATGGAAGGTGAACTCAGATTGTAAGAGTGGGTTAGATACATCCAGACGATAGTGGTTGCCAGCTGGGTGTGTTCAGGTGTCCAGGTCTGGCGTGCTCCGCTTCAAATCCCTGAGACGGCAAATCAGACCTGTCACGGGGCCCCTTGCATAGTGCCACAATACCGCCTTTTAGCACTGATACGTCTGTACGCGAATCTCCAAGATCTACGAAGATGTTCAGTCCACGACTGAAAAGGCAGTGATGGTATCGCAGAAACTACTAACTTGCTGCAGCAATGTTTTATGAAGGGGGTCAACTGACTAGTAAACCTTACGTGAGGGGGAGGATGGAGGCTCTTCCTTGCAGGTTCCGGACTTCAGGAAGCAACATACGACCTGAAGTGCAAACTAGTTTAGAGTTCAGGCACGCTGTAGCCAGCAGCTCGAGCCCCAGGCTGCGATCAGCTGTGCTCGCAGAAGCATGCAAATCACACAGCGCCAAATACTGCAGTAGAATCACAATATACGAATGTCTATTAATCTGTTACTTCTTTCTTTCACGGCTTGAATTCTTCTTGGGGCTTGAAGGAGTACTACTACTCCCCGGGGGCGCAGCTTGGAATCTCTCTTTCTTTCTTTCTTTCTTTGACGGTGGAATCTCTTTCTTCCTTTCGTGCGGGCTATGGAATCTCTCTCTCGCTCTCTCCGTTGCGCAGGCATAGCGTCAGCACTCAAACCAGTGGGCTGAGCCTAAGAAATGCCGGCTGCAAAGCGCTGCAATGACATCTGAAGCCTGTACATGATGGATTGCTGCGACCGGCGTAACAGAAAAGTAGCGCAGTAGAAGCCTACGAGTACCATCAGCTAGAGGTCAGCCGAGCGGATCAAAGCGCATGGCTCATGTTCGTCGCTACTGCCAAGGCTTCCCAGTCGTGGTCACCCGGGTGGCTGAACTCCAACCTTGATCAGTCCAAGTCAGTTATCACAGCAAACATCTAGATTTAGCATGTCCCTGCATGCACAAGCACTCGATTCTTTTATGTTCGTCCTCTGCTTTCCTCAGCCTTCTTTCATCCTCTTTCATTCCGCTGGCCGAGGCAGCTGATGATGCGACAATCTAGAGCAACCCGCGAGCCATTAATTGCGTCAACACTCTGGCAAGTAATCCAGTCTAGCCCCCAAACACTGCAACAGCGACGCACTTAAAAAAGAAGCTTCTGCCGAGCTGCAGGTGGCCTGGAAGCATGCAAAATGTGAAATAATGGACTCTTCACTACACTCATGCAAGAAGAGTGCTGTACCGATCCTGCGTTCCCTCTGTCTCGACATCTGATGTCGTAGCGACACGGTAGTCTTTGCCAATCGTCGTCTCCCGGATGCGAGTACCTGGCGGGCGCTGAAGCTTCCTAGCAGCACGAGTCCTGAAACAACCGTCTGGCGGTCAGAAGTTGAAACTACGTGAAACGAGACAGAATGGACGCTGCACGTCATTATGCACATCGAGCCGTGCAGGTAGCTCCGAGGCAGTTCTGGGCTATTCGAGCTGGTAGGACAAGTTGCTGTGAGCGGTGCTGCCGCTTCCGGTCGTAGCACTTGCCTGGGGCTGAACAACACGGAGATTTTGCACTGCAGGTGTGTCTCATTCCCACTTGTGCTCCATTCATTCCCTTCTGACTCGGCCACGTGGAATCACAGTCGTGCCAGGCAGAAAATTTACGACGATGCAAGAAACTTCCATGACAGCCTCCAAATCTGCAGGAAGTTCTTCTGTGTCCAGAGAGCCTCATGCCATCCGACGTTGTCAGGCCATCCTCACGGCAGGAGGTCAATGAAAAATCAAAGTTCGCTTGAACTCAATCCAATCCTAGGCCCTAGGCGGAGGAGAATCTGTGTCAAACGAAAAAATTGCCAAGGTACATATTTTGCATCGATGAGGCGAGGACTCTGAAGGAGCTGCGACCAGCTGGCCCGCACGAAGAGCAGCGACCTGTGCCGGCGATACAATATATCATATGACCTGGACCTGCAAACACTCACTGACACATATACTGACATGCGTGAACTCGAGCGCGCGCGCTCACGCGCTGACTTCGCGTTGTTCAACATCTGATTCCCAATGTCGCGTGCTAGTTCAGGTAGCAAGCAGCTCACGGCCCTGCGTCTCCAAACTCTGTGATTGCCACTTCCGGATTGATGCAGCATGACCATCACAACCCGGCACAAACGCTGCGCACAAAGCACAAAGTTTGCGTAAGCAAGCTCGGAAGGCAAAAGACAGGGATCTCCCGTGGACAAAATTTCTGTGAGCAGGTCTGACCATTGCATCTTTGTGAGCTCCCGTCTTCAGAGCTCCGCAACTCTTTTGACAAGAACTCGGGAAGAACGGTGTTTGTTTGGGCCCCGAATGCCCAGCACAGCGTCGGTGCCTTCAAGCGAGCACTGGGATTGTAAGCTGGAATACTGCTTGCTTTCCACTGATTTCCACCACGCGGGCCGGAGGTTTGCTTCCACTGCATGCGTTTGTCTTGCTGCATCGCCTCCTGGTACTGCTGACTTGCAGGTTGCGCTGATGCAAAAGGAGTTGTGCTTTCTGAAGCTTGAGATGTGGAAGGCTTAGAACAAACAAGGACTGGTCTAAAAACAGCCGTGAACTTCCAGCAAAACATAAATTCCACGAACATGGGGAGGCTTCTAAACTCAAAACATCTCAAAATAGGATCGCGGCATCAGGTCAATGGCAGAAACAGCCAACCAAGCCAAACATCTGCAGACCTCAACATGGGTAGCAACCATCACAGTAGAGACAGCAGTAAGCCTCAGTAAGCATCGCCGTGGGAAGAGTGACACGTGCAGCAGAAAGGACAAGGTCCAGAGGGCAACCACCTTGAAGGTGAGCCTCTTTGACAACTGCACAGGGCAGCTTCACCCATGCCTGTCGGACATCAACGAACCGCTGCCCTTGCACACCACATGGCAATACTGGCATACTCCTTACTGGCAGGCCATGACCTCACACAACAACCCACCAACCCACCAACAGCTCACCAACACGTATGACAGGGTCTGGACAGCAAAGCCACCATGGCGAATGCTCAGGAGAGTAGGGGCCAAGGAAGGATTTGTTGCAGCAAGCCTCCCCGACTTGGAGAGAACATAAGCAGACCTCTTACTCCCGCCTGTGCATTGGACGTGCACTGGACATCCGGCCGTAAAGGCACCACAATTGAGATAGAAGCTTCTCCAGACGGATGTGAGCAGATGCAACCCAGCACCAGACAAGGCGAATCCCACATGATTCAGGAGTCAAGATGCAAAGAGACCTTCCGAAGCGCATCGCAATCAAAGGGTTGTTTAGCATGATCCCCGAACCGAAGCTGAGGGGCACAAGACGTGCTAGAAACTGGCCTGTAGAAGAATCGTCGCGCGGCAGCGCTGGTAACGGCCACAGTCTGGCCATTCATGCCATCCAGCGCAACAGCTTGCCTGAACCAGCAATGGCTGAAAGCTTTCACAGCTGCATCGCTTCCCAAAAACTGCCAGCAAGTTCAGCCACAGGAACCGATAAGCATCAATGACGTCGTGCAGCTCCAGGAAGGGGCACGCCACCTGACCTGCATCATCGCAGGCTGCAAACAATGCTAGGCCCGGCTGCTGTGCTAGATTACATCTACCAGAGCAAAGAGAGCTGGACATCACACCCTTTATGAGCGACCAAACTCTGAAAGCAGCTCGTGTGAGATGGGTGCGCGATTCGTTGGGTCGGCCTGCCACGGCACCAATCGTGTCTGTGTCGCCGCCAAGGTACAACATTCGCTGCAGCCAGTCGATGCAAGTTCTGGCACCCACAGAACACCAAATGGCCATCATTGTCTGCAGGGAAAAAGAGTTCAGCATATCTGTTGGCCTTTTAACACAGCACACTGCTCTAACCATCTAGTCCTATCGAACTGGCTGGAGAATGTGATCAATCTGTCAGCTTCCACGAAGATCAAAAAAGGTCGGCGCTGTGGCCATGGCATTCATGCAATTATGACGGTGCTAAATTCTTTCTTCCTAAAGGATGCTGGCTTGACCAGAGATGGGTTCCAACTTTATGCTGACCAATTATCCACTCCGTTATGCGCAGGCACTGGCTTCAAGCGTCTTGCTAGAGTGCTACCATTTGAATGCAAGGGCATCTATGTACTTGAGATGGCAGGGTGCTTTTCACAAACCCTGCCGTATTCAGCCCTCGCTGACTGAAGCGGACGAGTATATCTGGGCGCCCTTCAACGACAAGTCGGCCCTGTGCCGCATCCTGCGCATCATGAGAACACTGCCAGGGCTTGACGAATGACTGCAAGCTTATCTTTCAGCTTTAGCCGGACACGATGAACGTTGTGCCAAGCTTCATCGTCAAAGTTGGCAGCAATTCCTAGTTTTTGTGCCATGCTGCTCTTCCAAAGAAATGCTTTGGCTCTGGCCGGGGGTGGTGCCGGGAGTCATGATACATCAGTTGCAGCTCAGACGCGCAGCATTTCTCCAAAGTACCCGAACGGTCCTGCCGTGGACTGCTCAAACAAAACGCTTGAACCACTTGAAGGTGCACCTCACAGCCGTGTTATATCTCATTCCCGTGCACCTGGATGCGTCACAAGCTCGGACTCAGACGGCGGGACGTTGCCCCTGCAAGAAGATACGCCGCAACAAGCGAAAGGCACCATTGAACAGGTAGCGACACTCCTACTGAGAAACTCCATGCACCAGACTCGAACGAGGAGATACTTCTTTGCTTCGGCATGAGGCCTGCGGCGACTGGAACATGAAGACCAGACCCCCTGTGGCCCGTGAGGGCATCCGGGACCAAGGGGCAGGGGGTTCCCCGAACAGCCCTCCACTCGAAGTGCGCAGCCCTCTCCTCCTTCATCAATGCCCTGCATGCAGATGAATCTGACCTGAAAAAACGGAAACTTAAGGTAAATGAATCAGCCTTGCGATTAGTGTTGCCCTCCGCTGTTCCTAGTTTTTGCGCAATCTGCACGTAATGTTAATGTTATCTCTGCACATGCCATATGCTGGCCAGCTCTGCAAAGCCAAACGAGGATTGTCCTGCCTTCTGCGAGAAAGGTAGCGGAGGCGGACGCGCGCTAGCGTTCACAGTTCCAAGGTGCATGTCCAAGGGTCTGGCTTGGTGATGAGCGTGTGCAGGAAGGAATTAGCGGTGTCAGCCTTAAAATGGCGCGCACACACACACACACACTGGCACCAAACATCTGAAACAAGTTGCCATACCTGCATAAGGAAGGTGCCTTGCAGTCGCCAGACCTAAGAAGCGGCAGTGACTGTGAAAGCGTGGTCAGCTCCTGAGTAGAAGACTAGGACTTCCACTAAGAACAAAAAGAATGATACAACGATACAAAAAATCAAAATCCACCGCAGCTGGGTTGCTCCAAGAACTCTCGAAACGCAGCACACGGGTAAACATATTTGTCCTGAATCAGGGCTTGCTCCCCAGCAGCCAACATTCGTCACATCTCATGCCGAGAGTCTGGAAGCTGGTCCAACCTTTTGAGGCCTTGCTTCCACGCATGGCTCTGCAGCAGGAAGCGTCCAATATCCTGGTTGTCTGTTTGTATCCAAGGCATGAAAGGCAGTGACACTCCGCAAGCATTTCCTCCCACCCCACTTTTGATAGTGCGCCAGTTCTGTGCCCGCTCAAGGGGCCAACAGGACATTTTAGGGCGAAAAAGCTAGCAAACACGGGTCTGTTCTGTCTTGGGTTTGGCTCGTCATCAATTTGCTGACGTGCTTCGGGAACGGGAAGACGCTGACACAAATCTGGCTTAGTAGCTAGGCCCGGTTCCCTGCAGCACATCTCCTGGGCGTTTCTTGTTCTGTTGCTGACTGCCATGTTTCTTGTCGCCAGACACATGAACGCCTTGGTGGAGTGATCACAACAATTCACGTTGGAACAGCGGGAACAAACAAAGCTAACATTTACAGCCATCCGTTCCGGAAAATCCGGCTTCCATTCCAAAGAGTTTTTCCTTGGATGCTGAGCTCTGTGATTTGGTTTTCGAGCTTCGACCAGGTTGGTGGAGCCAGAACAACAGTAATCCTTTTCATACGCCAGTGCTGCAGGCAACGGTGGCTGATTTGTAAAGCCAGCACTACGGGGCTGCGGCAGTTGGCTAAGACCTGCCTGCGAACCGTAATGAACCGTAGATGCTAAGCTCATGGACAGGTACCCTAAACCCAAAACCCCTAAGCCCTAAACCGAAACCCCAAACCCTAAACCGCCGCCTTGCACAGCTTAGGGCGATATGTCGGCCAATCAATGTTATCTTTAGTGGTACTCTGTCAATCTCTGTCATGCGTGTTTTCTGTCTCTTTGTGCACGGCAAGGGGCTAAGCCAACAACCCTGCTTTCATTTCTGGGTGGCAAGGGGCTAAGCCAACAACCCCTTTTACCTTCCTTCTCACTTGACGGCTACACAACCAACCGCCTGTTTCCTGTAAATTTCTGAAACTTTTGACGTGTAGTCAAAGCTCCGTTCTACAGCGCAAGCAATTTGTGTGAGCTTTTTTTCTGTGCTTGAGTATGCATGAAAACTTTTCGTGTATGCCACACTCTGTTACCAAGAGCTGCTGTGATTTAATTTTCCAGTCATGTTCCAAGAAATGAGACGCAAGGCACTGAGCGGCCCGTCACTGGCACCTCAGCCAACGAAGACGGCAAGTGACAGGGCTTGAAAACCTACCTGCAAAACAAGGGGGAGAGTGAACCTGGGGTCGTCGTGGCAGCTGGTGGCCCTCATGAGGATTTCCAGGGTCCACCACAGCAGCTGGAATCCGTGTTTGCATGTATGTGTTTTCCCTCCCTCGCTCTCTCTCTCTCTCTCTCTTTCTTTCAAGGCATTAAGAAGATCCGAAGATTTCCCCCGGAGCACAGCTCCGAGCCCGAGCTGTCCACAGCGGAGGTCAATTCGTCCCACCCAGCCGAACCGATGTGCTGCCCATGTTTCTCTCTCTCTCACAGCGACTCGGTTGACGTCAGCGCCGAACGTGCTCGTTCTCCGAACTCCGAACTGAGCAAACTACAAAAGCTGTACTTTACATGCACACAGACCTCCATGGCAAAGCAACTTTACAGAGACCTCACATGATGAGCCCAATCATCGGATATCTCTTCTACTGTAAGCTGCGGCATTCTCAGCGTATTGTGATAAAAGACCTCCCACTGTAATGCACATCCATGTTCAGCAATGACCGACTGGGAAGCGAGAACTTGAAGCAGGAAAACATCACCATACAGCATGAGAAATAATGGAATGAAGCGAGTGAAAGCCTCCTGCACGGTACCCCGCAACGAGAGCTCCATCCACCCCGACGTCTCACATAACCATCGGAAGCACCAGGCATCGTCACGGATGTTACGATCAAACAGCACTGCCCTGAACCACGCTGTTGTCGCCAGAAATGGGTCTCTCCACCTCAACCAAGTGTCACGATGGACAGGAGGAGGCTCCGAGACATTGATTCCGTGCTCTTGAATTAAGCACCCAGGGAAAAAGGACAACCACTCTTCTTTATCCACGTAAAGATTGGACAAGGTCTCCAAATTCAACGCAGGGCATCCAAAGATTCGTCTACACATACGCACCACCCACCGCTGACAGGTACCGGCAGGCCCACGTCGTTGTTGGCTCATGGAGCAGAGAAGTAAGTTCCTGACGAGCCAGGTGATCC